GGGCGGCTGATACTTCCTCCGATCCGGCTCTGGGATTGGTCCGATACTTAGCGAGGCTGTAACATCGTTACATAATACTCCTAGTTCTTACGAGCCTAATAGTATATTCGAGAGCTAAAGAAGAGCTTTACTACTAGTATGTTGTTTTAATTTTCTAATACGTTACGACTTAGACTATATAGATTAGTTAACGTCCGCAATACTACCTGCTAGGCTACCTTAATATTTAATAATTTAATATTCTTGCCTATCTCTGCTATAGCGAGTCTAAAGGGTTGCGTGGGTAACTAGCTAGTAATATTTCGTATTCTAGAGAGTGTCCTAACCGGGGCTGTAGCTATAGAATAGTAGCGTTGCTTTCCCTAGTGTTCTTAGTCTTTTCTAATAAATAGAAAAATAGGAAGTGCATAGGTATAGATAGAACTGTTGTAGATTTAATAATAATATCTTGAGGATCTAGTAATGTCGAGCAATTCTCTATAGATAGCGAGGCGCTGGATATTGTTGTACATTGTCTTGCAAATTCCACAGCGCCTAACCATGCGCCGTCTGTCACATCCTGCATATAGATATAGAATCTATACATCAAAACCTGAAAATTCATTGATATATTTGGTTCTAATCTGTCCACATTCGAGACAATGCGAGCATCGACATGTACTCTACTTAATAGCAAAAATAGAACCAAACACGCGCTACATCAATAGCCAATGACGATGCTCTTCACATTGGTTGGTCATGGTGGATTGAATACCCCGCTTTGAGACAATTTCATAAGGTCCTTCGAACCACATTGCCATCAATCACTTGAGCACTATTCAAGCAATGTTCATAAAGTTCATATTATTATAACTACTCGAGCCGCTTTCAAGCCTCGTAATTCAGGCTATCACGATATGCGTTATCCCCAGTATTTCCTACTAAAAGCTAACAAAAGGTAAAGGTGCACTCGAAGAAGTTCATACATTATCAGAGTGAGCGGCAGCGATATTAGAAGAGAAGTGACTGTGGTTACTATAGACTGTGGAAAAAGCGACTGCCCAGCATTGTCTAGGAACCCTGCAAACAATAGCACTACAAACGAGGTCGCTTTGAATAAGTTATATCGTAGAGCAAGATCGTAGCATATTGCGACTAACGGTACCAAGACGATGGACGGAAGATCGGATGTACGACGTCGCGCAAGGCTTTTAACATGACCCTCAACAAGCAAGTTTGAACCGTACAAGATAGCTACATAGACGGATGGCGAAGAAAGCCGAGATTAGCGTTCACCAGAGCTTCACTAGATTAGGGTCCATTAACTAGATCTATAATTCCTTAAGTGCATCTTCGTCATGCTCCGGTGATAAGGTTTCCCACTGTGGATTACCTACTATAACAAGACGATCGCCAAAAGGACGGCAAGAGCCTATGTTTGTAAGGATCTATGTCTCATCCTCAGCAACCATAGTATTGCTTGGTTTGATGTCATTATGAGCAAGCCCAGGAGAATGGAGGTGCATGACTGCAGACTTCAGTCCATCAAAGCCAAGCTTCAAGAGTAAGCTTCCTTATCCTCGACCGGCCGCACTAGACGGTGTGCTCTTTCGTGATAAAGGAGAATGTTGAATATGAGAACCTCAGATTACCACCATCATCGAACACGTTATGATTGCAGATCTGCAGGTCCTTAAGGGATTATATAAGAGTCGTGTCCGCTCGATAAGTATGCTAGAGTATTTTATCCCTAGCAAGCTGTCGGATTGTGCTAGTAACCCAGATGAACATATTTCGAGCAAACCCTAAGACCTACAGAGCGAGTCTAGGCATCGTAACATTGTGTATAGTCACTTAATACAAAATTAAGTTCGGGACCGACGAAAAAGAGGCTGCGACAGTATATTTAAGAGGGGTAGAAACGATCGAGGCAACGCAGTATAGACGCACTGCTACTCCTATAACACGTTAGTAATATGTAACTAGCAATGTTCGTCTAGGGCAACTGACTAACTGGATTTCTGGACTTGACATTGACGTCGGAAACTAAATGTGTTCTTGTTGTGACTACGGGTCTGGTGGGTGCATGACAATCGGTGGGGAAACGAGGAGCTTGGCAGTGCACGGCCTTCGTCGTAGTGCGTAAGTGAGCTAAATTTTGATACTAGTTATATATTTTCTAAGATTATCTAACAACCATCAATCAGCAATCACAGCTTGTTTAAGATATGCCAAGATTCTATCTTCAGTAGTATAGTGAATACTGTGACGGTTGTCATCTCTACGTGAACCCGTTTTAGGATTACCGCCTGCCAAGCCATACTAAGTTTCCTATTACAGTTACGCAAACCCGTTCTAGGACTACAGCCTGCCAAGCTATACTAAATACCTATTTCGGTAACTAGTAGCATAGAGAAAGATACTCCATGCAAAAGTTGACGCTGTTTTGAAAGCCTCAGTGGGTACATGGTCGCAAAATGGAGGCCCTCTCACTTTCCTTGGGCTTCCTCTCCCACCCCCTCTCCCCCTTTCTTTCTTCCTTTCTTCCTTCCTTTTTTGCGTCACTTGTGCTACTTCCTACCTACAATATATCAATATCAAACCTTTTGTTACTGTATTCACTTGCTGAGGCTCATCCGTATCCCCAACATGCGCGGAAGGAAGAAACTTAGCAGACCCATCAATGTAGATGACCTACAAGCGCTTGCCCAACAAGAGGAGAACCGCGAAGCTACTGCAGAAGAGATAGAGAAATCGCTCATTCCCGAGAGTTTGAAGCAACACAGGTACACAATCAAGCTATGGATAGAGTAAGTGGACACCAAGATTTGAAGACGCAACTAACAAGTCAGGTTCTCGCAGCAGGTCTTGGGTACAAGTGTGCAGGAAGATAAACCCTTTCCACAGCCTCCACCGGCAAACCAGATCATGGTGTTTCTTACTTGGTATACTCGGACAAGCAACGGATTGATTGACGAGAAAATCAACGACACAACGATCGCAAACCGTCTTCGATGTCTTAAACGAGCTATTCGACTGTTTACCAACCACATCTATAGTAAAGCCGACAACAGCCAATTTACTCAACTCGTTGAGAACAAGCTTCCTCGAACTGAAGGTTTATCAACAAAGGCGTACGACAAGCCTCTAGCACCACTAAATGTGAGCAAGGACGTCATTCGCTTCTTGTGGGTGTGCGATGAATACCAGTTCCATCATCCTCGCGTACGTCTCCAACTTGCCTTCTCCATTTTGATGTTGACTCTGATGGGAATGCGCCCTGGGGAGTTTATTGAATCATCAAACTGGAAGAACTCGAATGAAGGACTGCTTTATCGCGATGTGAAGTTGCTTAGGTCTTCAGAAGCTGACGGGGGATTCATACTACATGTACAACTTCGGAACCGTAAAGGCCATAGGCATAATCATAAGCAGGGGTATGTTTTCCGCGCTCCTCGAGGTAAATGCTGACCAGAGCTTAGTGCACTGATGCTTCTCACTGAGGAGCCAGGTGATCGTGCGCTTTGTCCGGTCACATACTTCCTGGCGCTCGCACTAGCAGATGGTGTCTTTGAAGGCTGCGAAACACTCTCCGACCTCCAGTCTAGGAAACCGTCGCCTGGTAGTTCCTATTGCGAGTTTCCTTATCATGCGGATGTAGGAGATTTACCAATCTTACGGTGTTGCCAACAAGACGGGTCGATCTCGCCGACAAGAATACTAACCTACTTTGGCTTCCATTGGATGATCCGAAGCTTGGGGCAGAGAGCAGGCTACAAGGACAAACTGACTGCGTACTGCTTTCGCCGTGGTTATGGAAATGCGATTGACAGTATGTCTGGATATTTAAGGCTCTAAACACACACTAACAGCCACAGAAACCGTCACAACTGCACAGAGACAGCAGCTAATGGGGCATGCCAACCCAAATGTCTTCCAGACCTATATTTCTTCCATGATCGGGATCGATTCGCAAAGTGTCGTTCAAGGGAGAGATCAGCGCATGGAGCTCATCAACAACCACAGTTCGATGATGCTGAACCGAAACCTACTAGCCCCTATGCCTCCTAGATCCCAGCTAGCAGACACAACTTCACTGAATGCAAGTCACCATGATTCGGACCTTCCACACGACAAGCGGAAGTATATGCAGAGGAAAGCCTTCGAAGAAGAGCGGCAGCAGTTTTTCCAGGGCAGGTCTATTACGACTAGCTCAACATCGAGTGACGGTACCCGAACGCCCTCTCGATACCTCAAGGCATTATTGAAGCTTGAGGCGAACCGCTATCAAGCTGTGATGCTTATGTATCCAGACCTCAAGTCTGATGGTAATCAGCATGACAAGGACAACGAGACCCCTGATCACGAGAACTACGAGGCAGCTGAGATGACAACTTCGACTCAAGAACCTCGTATTTCACTTGAGCAAATAGTCCATCCACTTCAAAGTATCGCAAATGGACACAAACAGCATTTCGAATACGGAAGCGCAGAAACTATCGAAAACGGATGTTGCAGCTTCTGTAAGAAGCAATTGGACGGGTATGCGCATCGGCTTTTACAACACTGTAGATGTACTAATTGCTTTTTTAGAGAACGTCGAGACCGAGTGAATGAACATCTGCTATTTTGCGCAAGGGACCGGCGATTGGAACATGGACGAGCTCGTATGACCAGCCTGTTTTCAAACACCCGTTTATGCCGTTGGAACGATTGCCATTACAAGTTTGAGGGCAAAAAGCCTGAGACATGCTCACTCCATATGCTCAAACACGTCTTGAAGAACGAATCTTACCAATGTTTATGGGACGGATGCCGGGAGACCTACGACAGCCATGAGGTATTATCATGCCATGTTGCCAAGAAGCACGGCGCGCCAGATGAATGGACCACACTCACAAATATACGATACTGCTTTGAGCATAACATATGGTGTTGCTCAGACTCGCAGTGGGAGGCGCATCTAGAGGAGAGCCACCTTCCCCAGTTGAACAACTTTTGCGGCTTAGTTCGTCGAAACGGGGCTGTCCTAGTCGCAGGCGTTTGCTTGTTTTGCATCGGCAACACCGAGGCAACCCTCACGTCTCGATTTAAGCAGTACTTCCAACACAATGCGTTACGTACACACATGAGAAATCATTTGACGAACGCCCTCTATCCATTGGAATGCCCTCATCCTTCTTGCGCAACTAGCCTGGGCACTGCAGACCTGTTCTGGGAACATGCAGTGTCTGTTCATGGATTACCGCCTTTGCATGGCACGAAAATAACCAGTAAGCGCAAATCGCCCTGCGATGACGACCCACAGCAAGAGTAGCGCGCGGTTAGCCAACCAAACCAGACGCGCATTCATATGCCGCAAGCACAGGATCGAAATCCGAATTCGATATTAAGTGACGCAAACCAGATATCGGTTTCGAGGGACAGATTCGTGTTTAGAGGATACTTGTTCATATTGCAATATTATATCAAGACTTCATGTTGTGCATTTTTCCGTTCCAGCATTTACTTATATCACTTCAAGCTACCATACAAATGATGACACCACCTCTCCGTTCAGAGCGTCGACAGACCAAGCTCGCTAGAAGGCAGAGCGGGAGCATGCTCGGTTCCCCACTGCAACTAAGCATCCCCCCTGCTGCATCCCGCCAGCATCACCCTCTCACTCCATATCCCTTCGAATCGAAGCCCTCTGTGCGTCAGAAGCAGAATGCTATCAAGGCGCTCTCTCAATCTCTTGCTAGTGTTGTCGATGAAGAACCATGTGAATCTCATTCGCAACCGCCCTTAGACTTCGACCCCGCGGGACGCTCGTATGATGACTCCAGTTCAAATTCCGAGAAGGCGGTATCACCACCTACCACGACGCACGAATTTGTAAGAATACTTTCCATGATATTGGCGTTTCTCATAGCTCTAGCGAAACGACGCCATGACGCACTACGTTGGAACGGCAACGTCTCAGTCACGAGCCTACACGCGATCCCCAAACCTGCAAGCCCGGTTTAATACAGTAGTCAGAAAAGCGAGCCAGCTTTGTGCGATGTCCGATTCTGAAGTATACCTAGCCGTGCGACATGGAGGTAACTTCTATGTTTACAACTCTGTCGATGTGGCTTCGCATCAAGCCCCAGAACCAGAGGTACGCGGAATAATCATAACGAGGACAAAGCTTACACATCACAGGCACATGAACGCATCGTCAAAGTAGCAGTCGCGAGCAGCACTTGTGGTATGACTATCTAACTTGGACGTGGTCTGAGGTGGGACGTGACGTTGGTTTTTCTGTACCTAGGTAGCCTTTAACTAAAGACCTGTGTTTTACCATATCTGCCCAGCTATCGAAGAGTTTATTTGTCAAAACATGCTCAATGTTAGCGCTAATTGCGACTGTGGCGTTTCTGGATCAGGCTCTCATTGCCGCAATTATTCCCCTCCATAAGCAGCGAACTCGCTTACTTTACTCCATTTCGCAGGAGCTGCACGTCTTTGCAAGGTTTACACCTGTGCCACATGGCGCTACGAATAAGCGCTGAGTGCTTTATTTGCAATGGCCACATAAGTACCTGTGTCGTTCCGAGATTCCTTCACCTTGACTCATGCAGTGTGGGCAAGTACTATCCCTCCATGTGTGGCGGAAAACCCTGCGTGGCGGCATGCCAGTAGTGATTCCACCATAACAAACGCAACCACAGCTAAAATAGGCACAAAATCTCGGAATAAAGACATCGACCCTAGACCTATCTCTGTGTTTTGTCTCGTCGCTAACAAACTTCTGTGTAGCTGGCAATACGACAATTTGCTGCTAGCATGCACGGCAGCCCTATCTCGGACGGTCTCGGACGCGCCAAAGGTTTAACCTATGCATCTAAGAATTTGTCAAGTTATACAAAGATGCATAGAGAGTTGATTCCGAGCGAGATGCTACGGTGTTCTACGTCGTGGTGCTATTGCGCACGTCTATTGCTCTACAGAGCAGGATGGACAACTAAGGCGCGCTAATTACAAGCCGTACAGAATTGTCGCA